TTACAGTTCAGTGGACTTTTGATATATTCACTGACAAGGCAAGGGGACTAGGACTTCCTGCCCTGAAGTCACAAAACTGGAGCTCATTTTCCCAGTGGCCACTTCAAGTGATGGGCAATTGCTTTTGTTCTTTATCCTGGACCCGTGTGACCCTCCCATTGGAGGCACAGCACCACAGACAGCTCTCTTTCCAACCGATTGCATATGGCACCCTACCTGTTCCCTGTGCTGTCCTGAGCCAGCACCTCAGCTGGGCCACTAGAAGGTTACTCTTTGTGTTCTGTGAGTCTGGATGCTACAGTAAGTGATATGACCCGCACATCTCATAGTCATGGGCCAACTCCCATGCCTCTTTCTCTGCAAAATAAGCCTTCAGCATGATGTTATGTTGCCTGTTGTATGGGACATAATATCAGGGTAAACTTCAGTTATTACAACTGCATGTGGAAGAAAGAAAAAAGTCATATCAAGGTAGAAAAAGAATCTATCCCAAGGGTTACAGACAGCTGGCCCTTCTAGACTAGTGGGGGCCTATCGCTGTTGATATGTCACCTAATGGCCAGACATTATCCACGAGAAATAATGCCATGCTGGGTCTCAGCAGTGGCTCTGCTGATGAGGGGTTGCATGATCACAGGCAGTAGGACTTAGATCCTCTCTGAAAAACAATGTGGTGTTCTTTGAGCCCTATACTCAACATAATCCCCCGGTAGTTTTTCTAAACTAGCATACAATTCCATCACTTTGGCATGCCCATGTCATGAAGCATTTTAGTTCTTTCTCTATCATCTTTCAGGAAAGCTCATACTGTGTCCAGCATGATCTGGGAGCCACCTTGCTTTCTGAGGCCCTTGCAAGAGTGCAAAACTTGGAGAAAATTTTCCTTAGGGCAACAAATTCATGTTTCTCCTGTTTTAATGATTGACCCAATTGGTCAAGCACTCCAGATATTCAGTGCCAGCAGTTTCCTCTTAGCTTCTGCTTGTAGTTTCTAACTAATTCTTGTGCTTTCTTCCCTTGTCAGGATAATACATGCTAGCCAGGCTGGCATGTAGCCCTAGTTTTGAATCTGACAACTAGAGAGGAGGTGGAACAGCTTCTGAAGGAGACACTTATTATGGTTGTGATGAGATACAGTGAGGAAAGTGCTAGGTCTTACTAAATAGGTTAGTTTCCTATTGTTGTATCATAAATTGCCATAACCCTGGTGGTTTAAAACAACATTAATTATTGCCTCACAGTTTCTGTGAGCCAGGAATCTAGACACAGCCTAGTTGGGTGCCTTCCTTAGGTCATTTGAAGGCTATAATCTAGCCTGGCTGCATTCCTTTCTGGAGTTCAAGATTTTCTTCTAGACTCATGTGACAGCTGGAAAAATCCAACTCCTTGAGGCTGTAGGACTGTCGTTCTCATATTCTTGCTGCCTGTGAGCCAGGGGCTACTCTCAGTTCCCAGAGGCTGTAGTCCCCTCCACAAGTATCTCACAAGCCCTCTCACAGCACGACAGCTCCCTTCATCAAGGCCAGCTGGGGAAACTCTGACTTCAGGAAGGATCCCAGTACCTCTTAGAAAGCCTTTCTCCTAATTATTTCGGGCTCACACAAGATAATCTCTCTTTTGATGAACTCAAAGTCTATTGGTTTGGAGACTTAATTTTATCTTAAATATCTTCATTGGCTCTATTCTATTGGTTAGAAGCGAGTCACAAGCCAGTTTGCCCCAAGGGAGGGATGTCTACAAGAGTATGACTCACTAGAATCACCCTAGGGTGGATCCCTGTACACGGAAGCAGGCTGAGTCTCTGCTGGAATCTGGTGGTGAATTTGGGGGTGCACAACTGGGGCCACTGGTCCATTCTGCTCCTGCTGCAGATCTCAGCAGCACATTTTCTTGGCACCACATGGCATCATCGCAATTCATAATTCATGACATCACGATGTGTTATATCTTTAAGATCTCTCTTCCCCGCTGGAATATGAGTTCTGTACGGCTAGGGACTAAATCCGTCACTGTCACATCCTCACTGCCTAGAACATGGTGTGCATGTATTTGTTTGTGTGTTTATGAAGTAGATGCTCAAAATACTGTACTGTTGAATGATTAAGTGAATGAGTACAGGAATAGGGACATTGTCTCCTGACCAAACTGAACTGACCTACGGGTGACATCCTGACCCACACTAAGTCAGTGACTCTCTGCTGTAGTGATTTTGATTTGAGACTGAGAGTTGGACTTTTGATGCTATGGGTGGCTGAACTGTAACTGGTAGCATTCTCCTGAATGCAGCAGCGCTGTCTTGAAGGCCAAGGAGTGACAGATGCCAGCTTTCAGCATGGTGGAAATGCCCTAGACATAGGGAGGGATACAGCATCTTCTCTCTTCCGCATCTAGATACACGCACTCTTCTTCTTTATCAATAGGTTCTATAGACTCCACAATTTCCCTTTCTGGCGAGCAGTAATTTGAGTTGGATTTTGCGGATCCTCTTTAATACACTCTGCAGGTATTAGAAGGCAGAGATGCAAGTGGCCAGCTGGTCTTAATTCATACAAATCAAAAGTATGTTGAGGAGGGGCTTTATTGAATGAGAAGAAAGATTCTGGCTCAAAGGACAGAGACAAGGAAAGAAGTAAGAGGCATCCAATTCAGAAAGGAAGCATTAAAATTATCTCTTTTTGAAGATGACATAATCATATGTGTGCATAACTCTAAAGACTCAACAACAACAACAAAAACAAAGAGCTAGTAAATGAATTTAGTAAAGTTACACGATACAAAACCAACATACCCAAGTCTGTGGTATTTCTAGACACAAACAGCAAGCTATCCAACAAGGAAATTAAGAAAACAGTGCCATTTACAATAGCAACATAAAGAATAAAATATTTGAGGGTAAGCAAAGGACAGAAACTAGGGGTTCTGCCCAAAGAGGAGCAGGTGAGATCTCTGGGTCGCAAGGCAGAGCATGAGTGTGAAGCAGCTGCCTTGGGGAACAGGAAGCGCTGTTGCCTCTCCCAGTGCCTGGCTCAACCTGTCCTGTCCTGTCAAGCAGAAAGCAGATTATCCGGTCCTGGGAGGAATCTAGGCTGCTTTTCCCACTGAGGGCTCCCTGAGCTATCATGTAAGTCAGACACTTGCAGAATATTCTACAGTTTATTTATTCATATTTTAACTTATTAAACATTGCCAAGGTAAGATAAAAAAGGTCCCGATGGAAAAGAAGAGAATCTGATGATCACAACAAACCACAAAGGACGGGAGGCAAAAGGAATATAAGTGAGCAAAGCCAGGAGGGTTTAATGGCACGGGATTCCCGGGGGAGAACAGAAAATGGTGGCATAATTAAAGGTGGGACAGGTACCTGATGAGACTCAAAGGCTGAGAGGCACAGATGAAAGGGGTTCGGAAGATGATCCATTTCTCCCCAGCAGGAAAGGGCTAGAAAAACCATACATATCTACTTAGTCATGCAACAACTGTTAGTTGTTCAGCAAACATTCCCAAGCACCTACTAAGTGGTGCCAGGCACTCTTTAGACGCTGACGATACAGTGGAGAACAAGACAGGCAGAACCTTTACCATCGTGAACTTTCTTGTGACCTGTGGGGACACCATGAAGTTTGTCACCGCTCCTGTTCCCTGCCAAGTGAAGGACTGACTTCGTGGACGCACAGTCTTCTGGCCTTCGGTGCCATCTCTAGGGATGCCATGAGTAGATGTACGAGTTGGAAGAGGGGAAGGTGGTGCAAGCCCTCAAGGCCTCAGTGTTGGGAAGACAGGGAAAGGGGAGAGCGGAGAGGAGCCTTTGTGTTAGGACCCGGCTCCCTGCAGCCGGGACGCCTGCCTGCTGCCAACCGGAGCCCGCACCGGCCACACTGCACAGCAGCGGCTGCTCCACATTCGCCTCTAAGTTCGGACACAGAAATGGTTGCCACAGGCAAGTGAGAATGGTTATTGCAGACCACGAAATTTTTTCTTAAATCATAGATTTATCTTTCATATTTTAACATGTTACGTATTCATCTTCAACAATATCCAGCTATATGAGAGCATGGTTAGTCAGTTACCATTTATAGGATGATGTGATAATTTCAAGTACTACTTCATATTGTCACTGTATTAAAATTCTCTGTGAAATATACCATAGGGGTAGACTTTTAAACTAACTGTTAAAAAAGAATATGTATATTCATTCCTCAATCAACAAGGATGCTTGGGATCTCATTGGGGAAAAATGGAAAACAATGGAAGATAAACTCACACATGAAAATTTCAAATTGCATAAGACAAAAAACTACTGTGAAAAAAGTGTCAGGAGAGATTTCAAATTATCTGAGAGAGATAAAATAGCTACACTTAAAATAAGAAAATAGAGCTGGTGTTGTACATCATGGGTGGTTTGCTTTGCTTGTTTAACATTTGTGAAGCCCTGGGCTTGACCCCCAGCACTGCTACAAAAAAGAGGAAGAGAAACAGGAGAAGGAGGAACAGGAAGAAGAGGAGGAGGAGGAAGAGGAGGAAAAGGACGAGAAAAGAAATGGGATAGAAGCATAAAGAGAAAAATCTGTGAAGGATCTATAGGGGAAAACACAAAGAATTAATGAGAAGGGCAGAATAGAGACAGAGAGGATATTTTTAGTTAATTAATTAGCAATAAACTGGGCATGGTGGTACATCCCTGTAATCCCAGCACTCGGGAGGCCAAGGCAGGAGGATCACTGCAAGTTTGAGACCAGCCTGGGCTACAAAGTGAGCTCAAGACCAGCCTGAACTGCATAGCCAGACCCTGCCTCAAAAAGACAAAAAATTTTAATTAAAATCATCAAGTTATATGTAGATAGGAAAATAGGAAGAATCAAAAAATCGAGAAGGTTTGGGGAGAAAAATTTAGCCCTGGGTTTACTAGCAGCCAAGTAAAAAGAGAACATTGTGCTTATTGTCCCTAAATAAATATTGTTTCAAAGTATATAATATTGTGCCTCAAGGCATATAAGTAAAAGAAAGAGAGAGAAGAGAAACGAAACTTTTGTGGTCCTGAGACCTACATGATATTTATTTGGGAGCAGTTTTATACAAGATGCATTTATAACATCATGAACTCTGTCTTAAGCTGTAGATTTATCACAAAATGCAGGGGTTTCCACTTCTTCATTGCCTTCTCGGTCCTTGATTAAAAAAAAAAAAAGCTGAGGGTATTATTTAAGTTACAAAAGAAATTCTCCAGAAGCAAAAGTGATCATCATCTGGTTTTAGAACCACACAATTTATTAGAGAGGGAGTAAGGGAGGGCGGAGGGTATGAGAAGGAAATGTCATAAAACTCAGAGTCGGGGTTGTCAACCTTGACACTGTTGTCCTGGGAGGTCACTCGTGCTGGAGGCCACCCTGGGCACTGCGGTGGTGTAGCAGCGTCCTGGCCTCCGCCTGGTAGACGCACTCATGCCCTGCGCCCCACAGCCCTACGTGTGCCCCTCTAGCCAGTTGCAATACCCCAAAATATCTTTAAATATTATCAGACATCTTCTGGAGGCAGGATCGCCTCCATTTGGAAAACGTTGGTCTAACTGTAGGATGCGTTTTCTTTCGTATCCTTTTTCATTCCGCACACATTTGTGTCCCTATACACATATCTTACATTGTATTATGCATTTTTCATTCTACCTCATAAAGAACATTGTGACTGACCAGCAAAGACTCCTGACCTTTGAGAGGGAGAGCCGAGGCCTTTGTAAATCCCCAACAGGCCAGTGGCACGTGAGCGCATCCTGTCTCACATAATTCGTGTTTGGGAAGAGCAGAGAGCAGCGCAGCTGCTCCAAGTCCCCGATTGTGAGCAGTCGACCAGGGTCTTTCCGTGGCTAAAGTGTCTGGAGTCCACTTTCCAGGCCTGCAGTTCACTTTAATCAGATTCATCCCAGCTGGGTTACAGAGGAGTGCAGGCCACAGGCTCCCTGGGTGTCTCTGGAGTAACTGAAGCAATGAATCCAAACTCTGCAAATGCTCAGGACTCCTGTGGACATGAGGGCTCTGTGGGTGGACACCGAGCAGTCCTTGGCAGACCTAGATAAAGCCATAAAACCACTATATTTTAAGTGTATTGTTTTGCAGATGAAAAATACTTCAAAACATAGGAAATGGGGCGAAAAGGTGGTGATAAAAAAAAAAAGATGCAAATTTAAAGGTGATACCTACGTTGGACATTGCAGTTTTGACTTAATGTGAACATCAGCTCCAAAGTTCCTTAAGGTCCTACAGTGGAAGATGCAGGCCTCGGGAGTCAGTGCCAGTTGAGATGTTACCTTCGGCCTGGAAGAATGAACCGGGAATTGTTTTGGCTCGTGGGCCAGCTGATGGTGATCTCAGTGGTCCACTTAGGTTAAAGGCCTGAGGGTGACCTTCAGCTGTGGTCCGACAGGAGATACACAGAGCCTGCGCGAATGGAGCCGGGTTGATATGGAGACCAGATCTCAGCCCAGACAGGACTTGGTTGCTGACCTTTCTCCGTCCTGTGCACCGGACTCCTGCTGATTCCGGCTCCACTGTGAGCCAGTGCTGATGGGGAAGGCTGCTGGGTTGTGAGGAATAAACAAAAATAAGGAGTGGGAAAGGACTGTGAGAACCTTAAAGTGGGAGGTGTGTGGGGCCACTTCGCCCCATCAGTCACCAGGCAGTCATGTGCGTCCCGACGGCACGGGAAGTTCTGGCTGTAGGTTTGGCATGGCCAAGCGGCAGCTTACGATGCCATTTTCTGGAAAGTCTTCGAAGGCCAGGAGAAAGGGTGACTTTAAATCTTGGGGGATCCAATCAGAACGTGTTTGTCTTTGTACTCACTCCAAGGTTAAAATGACATAATGAAATGTCAGGGGAAATTGCCGGCAAAGTTTTCAGGTCAGTCAAGTCTAGTCCTCTTTGGGTTCCCATTTCCCATTGCTCAACAATTGGCAATGGAGTGGAGGGGACAGTCGTGGGTTTTGTACCTTCCTGCCACATAAAGGAGCTCCTAACAGTCACCTAATTCCCCCCAGCTCAATTCCCTCACCTGTCAAACTGGAAGTTCAGGGAATGACTTCCTCCTTGGAGTTGGTGGGGCTTAAATAAGCTGGATAACGGAAAACAGAATGCCTTTTCCAATATCAGGTATTATGTGGCAGTCTATTTTTATTAATTGCTCTGTTGCTTTTTGGCATAAAGATGGGTGAAGAAGGCCAGAGGGACTATGAATGAAAAGAAATTTGGGGATTGTCACGAGATTTCCAAAATTCATAGTATTTTCCCTCCCACCACGAATCAAAGTTTAGCTTAAACTGAAAAAAGAAAAAAGCTGAATTGAAATTCCATTCTATTGCACCAAATAATAAATGTTTACACATCAAAATGAATGACTCTTAAGCGTATTTTGTGCCAAAAAGAAAGTCTCAAAAGCGTAGATGGAATGTAATTTCTTTTATATAAAAGGTTGGAAAACATATATGACAACAAACAGTTTAGTAATACACACTGACATGTAAAATTACAAATAAAAGCGAAGAATAGGGAATATGTTGGGGAGGGCCTAAAGGTATTTAAAATTATAGTATTGTATTTCTTAAAGAGGGTGGTAGCTGTAAGCATGATTATTTTATTATTTTCATTTTAATAAATAGTTTAACGAGAATATAGTTAAACTATGTAGCATTATATATTCACAAACTATATACATATACGTGCCTCTCTGTGTGTACTGTGTATGAGTGACCAAAAATACAGTGAATGTTTAAATTTTAAAAATTACAATATACCCACTTGGGACCTCTTCTATCTCTCAGTCAGACAAGCTGTCTTTCTCTCAATAAATATACTCTGCTCTAAAACAAATTACAGTAAAGGCATATTGCTGTTAATCCCTCTCAAAATACTCCCTATTGCTTCAGACACACTTAGCCCACCCTTCTTGCTCCTTTCTGAAGCAGTTCTGCAAGTGCTCTTTCGTGAGCGTCTTTGTGAGTGTGATCAGCAGTAAGGTAACGCTGCTGCTGAGTGTCACCCATTGGAAAGGCAGGGCTGTAAAAACATTACAGGGTGTCCTCATTACCAGTTCTAGCAATATGTGGTTTCTGCATGGTCCCCAAAGTCAAAATGACCATCCACAGTGAATGCTTTGAATCGCTTCAGGACAAGGACACAGCCATGTCAGTACAACTCAAGATACTCACAGAAGACGACTGCCAGAACTGCTTTAGAAGGTGACAAGGATGACAGGATGAACGTTCTCCAAGTGGGAGAGGTATTTTGATGGTTCAGTAGCAGTGTGTCTTTTACCACGATAAAGATAAAAAGTTTAAACACAAATTATATTTGTCCATCATACCTTATATATATTCCTTGGTATGTGGGATATAACTCATAATAAAAACTTTTGAAGAGCCTTCATGTCTCTAGAATAATACTATAATGAAAGCTGATTATAATTCTTTTTCGTTTCCATTGGTGGCTCAGCTTGGACCATCCGTCAACCTCCTGTTAGCGGACTTTTCTCACACCTGCACGGCCTTTCCACCTGTTTGTACATGTGGCAGCTCTGCTTCTGCTCTCACTCACTCTCTCATTCTTCCCTCCCCACTCTCCGCTCTTTGGGGGGGTCTCAGTTTAAACCCCATTTCTTTTAAGAACTCTTTTTTGTTTCTTTGACTAGGTTAGATTTTCCTATAACAAGCCTCCAGAGCATCCTGTATTTCTCCTTCCTAATATTCACACACTTGCAAATTCTCCAGTTCTGTCTTCCCAAGAGCATAAACATTGCCAAGTAGCAATCACATCTGTCGCAGGATCACCAGTGCCTAATCCAGCATGTGATGGGCATGCCACAGCATGTGTTGACTGACTGACTGACTGAATGAATGTCTGGCACAGTTGGTTTATCCCTACAGGCAGGTCTGAATGTAAGATTATTAGAGAAGCTTTATCAGCCACATTTGGGCATTGTTTCATCGGTGCTTTCTTTCCTAAGACCTCGATGACCAAGAACACTGGCTCTAAACAATGGAAAGTGGTATCAGATTTCTTCTATTATATTTAGTCCATCCTAGCAATTGCTTCTCACTGATCGTAATAAATTGGGAGTGAGATGATGATGTCACTTTGAATGCCTCTCTCCAGCCTTTCTTTGACTGCTCTGTAAAGAAAAATAGCAGGTTCCTCTCGGAGAGGGGAACAGGATCATGCATTATTTGAGTTATCACTCAAATCAAAAAGTACATGAAGGTGCCACATAATTCACGTAGACAGCAATCACTACAGAGCTATGCCGGTCTCTTATGTCGGTGATGAAACAGCCAAATTCCCTGGCAGTGGTAAATTATTCCTGGTGTCACTAACAGCAATGCCAAAAGAAGAATCGATGCCACAGACATGGAGGATGGGGGTGGAGGGTCTTCAAACTGCCTGAGTAGAAATTTAATCTTGATCACTGAGGTTTTAAAATAAAATTACAGGGGTGCTGAGCCTGGCCAGTAGCGGGGGTGGTTGGTTTCCACTCGGTGGTGGTGTGGACACGGTGACCTCTGTCACAGGGCCAGGCCCGGACAAGGACCCCTGTGCTTTCCCATCCCACCGCTGTCCTGTGGCCTGGCTGGCACCTGAATCCTAACAAGGAGCGCGTGACACTTGGGAATTTTTCTTTTATACTTATTTTCAAGTAATTCAGCAAATATGTACCTCTTTTGTCTCGTGGTTAAAGTGTTGACATGGTATAATAAATTTTTCAGTTGCAAAAGCCTCATGGTAGGGAAATCAGCACAATACAGGGATCCAAATAACAGTGATGAGGAAGTATTTTGAATAAACTCAGGGACTGTAGGTAAAATATTAAATTATATCAGTATTCTTTTTAAAACTTTTTAATGTTTTTTAAAGCCCTTTCTTAATATTATGGATAAGTAAATTCTTGGGCCCGACTTCAATTTGAGTCAAATTCCAAATAATAACGTCCCACCCATAGGCCTTCTCCTTAACAGTCCACTACATTAAACTGAAGACAGAATTCTTACAGCATTCTCTTATGTTTCTACCCATGAAATAAGCATTACAGACTTTCAACAGATGTCTTTAATAGACATTGTTATTAAAAACAGTATTATATAAAATAAATTTAGACTGTTAGTCTAGCACAATTATTAAAGGAATACTTGTGCATAATCGGATAATCACATCTATACTTGATTGGGAGGGAAAAAATCCTGTGGACATAATAATCTTCTGATAGCAGCCATCTACTTATTTATGTATCCAACTCATTATTCCAGAATAAGATTGTTAACGTTTTCTTCATATCATAAGCTCCAAATTTCAGGAAATTAACAGTCAATCAGAAAACAAAACAAACAAACCAAAAAAACTTCCAGTAAAAACATATCAGGCAAAGTCCTCCTAGAAATCTTGGGGAAAAAAATTCAATTCTTTCTCAGTTATGAGTGCCAAAAAAAGAAGTTTTGTGGTTTCAGGCACTTTTAAGTTTTATAACTTGAAAATAAGTAAGACTTAAATGGAAAAAAAATAGCATTTCAAGTCTATAGTATGGATTAATGCCTCAAGTCTGATTTGAAGATGACACAAAGCTAGTAAAAACAACCAGACTATTTGTTGGGAAAAACGCTCTACTGTGCATGAATATTTAAAAAAAAAATCATGAGAACGTATGGCAGCATTGAATTTTGGTTTCTGCCTTCAGGCTTGCAATATGAAAATCATTATCCACTCTAGTTAATTAGGTAATAACTGGAATTTACACAGCATCTTTCATTTCAAGATACTCAAACAGAGTCAGCGAGGCAGGGCCATTTTCCCAGTCAATGGTCTATCCTTCTGGTCATAGTGTTAATGGGAGGAAACAGAGATCAATGCCACTATAGCTTCCTGAAAGAGCCCTTCCTTGTTAACGAAGGGAGACCAGGATGGAGGATCCTAATCGAGGTCACACTGCGGATGGAAGCTGCAGGGACAGTTGTCTCTGCCAGGTATCCACAGCGTGTTGGGCTGTGGCTACAGCCTCTTCAGTGACTACTCTCTATGGCAGACCTGGGAGATGGCCGTAGGTCAGCACTACTGCAGATCTGTTGCTGCCGGTGACCAAGCCAATGTGGAAGAGCAGGGGACTGTACAGGTCTAGTCCTCAACTTGACCCTTGATCTGGAACTCACCAGTTGAATGACTTTGGAAGATACCTGAGCATCTGTCCCCTGGGAGCTAAGAGAAATACATATTCTTTTAAGTATTTTTAGGAGCTGCTGCTAAGGAAGAGAACTCAGCAGTTAAAAGTTAGCTATTAAAAGTTAGCTATTTATTATTTTCCTTATCGTGCTTCCCAATTATTTCTAAGCTACATTTCAGGTGCACTATCTAAAAGAACAGCTTGCACTGCCTTATCTATGGAGGAAATGGAAGGTTATGATCCTTTCCTTCTATGTGACATGTGAAACTTGACCACAGAGTTAAAAAAGCAGCGAGGAAAGGAGAGCAAGATGTACAATTCAGAAAATCTGGTCCCTTATCCAAGCTCCACCACTTGCAATTTAACACAACGGCGTCAGCCTCTCTTGCGTCACGTACATGCGCGCGCGTGCGTGTGCGTGTGTGTGTGTGTGTGTGTGTGTCTGTGTCTGTGTGTCTATTTCTACTGCACAAAACTGAGCAATAAATCTTACCTGCTTTATTCAGTTTCTGTGTGAATCGAATGGAAAGACAGATGTGAACGTATTTTGAAAACTAGAAAGCACTTAGTTTAAACAGAGTATCTTAATAATTTCTATCATGCCCAATGTCACTTCTGGCTGATTTCTAGATCCATATTTTTCCCTTAAAAGTCTGTTTTTATTTGAAACAATTGTTATTTATTACTCATCTATTAATAGACATGAAAATATTGTTGATGACAATGTTGTTGCCAACAATAAACCAAAAATATTGTTGCTAACAATAAACCAAAGATAAATTCATGGTTTAATACTGATGTTCTGTTTTTCTCCTTTTTTTCCCTGAAAAGTTGAATCTTCATAATTTGTTAGAGCAAAGAGGAGGCCATATTGCTTAATAACTCTTCTACTAAGGTTCACCAAATTGTACTCAATGTTCTGAGATTTATTGGTTACAGAATTTGTGTTTTCCACTTGGCCTTGTTAAACACACACACATACAACTTGCTTTGGTATCAAACTGGTTATACTAGCAGGGTTGAAAAACTGGAGAAATTAAATTTGTCTGAAACTTCATGGCTTCAAGAGCTAATCTCGAGTGACAGCGTTATTGAGAAATTTTAACCCAGAGAGAAACCTACCTTAGGAAAAGCCTAGACATTGGGTGTAAACACACTGGCTCCTTCCTCTGGCAATGTGCATTATGTTCAGACATCAGGAAATTTCAAGTGAACTTTGACCAACATGGCTCTGTGATTTCCATCACACTGACTACCTGCAACTCAGACAAAGACAGAAAAGCTTTACCTGTTGTCGAATAGTTCCTTGGAAAGATCACCCAAGTTAACCTTACTTTTCTTGGGATGTAAGCCTCTTTTGTTGATGGCCACATCTAGTCCAGTTCCCCAACATCAAATCTGCTCTGTCCAAAGAGGGAGGAGCTTTCATAGTAGGCGACAACTATTATTTAGAAATCCATGCTTTTTTCAAGGCCATGAAAGCTTCCTTTGCTTTAGCACACTTACCTGCCAACTAGTGTTAAAAGGAAGCAACCCGTGCACACTGAAGCATGATTACCTGCTGGTTAGAAGACTCACTTAGCTCCACATTGATGCTTGTTTAGCTTTATGAAGCTAAAGCTGAGTCTCTATAATCAATACCACTTTGCCGGTAGATCCATTCCACTCTGAACATAGAACCTATGTGGCTAAAGATTAGAAGGGACTGAGTCCTTTCCATTTATTCCCTGTTAGCTTTCTGTCCCCTTGGAAGAGCAGTGATTCTTCCCCATAGCTGCAAGTGAATCCGGTATGAGGTTGTCTAATACTTGTTTTGTCCCCTCAGTCCCTGATGCCAGCCGAACTTTTCCTAGAGGCCTGTTTTGGTGCCAAAGAGTATCTTTTGCAAACTTCTGGTTTTAATGATTCCATCCTTCTCCCCTTTTTTCTCAAGCCAAGAGGTTGTAATTGCTTCCTACAACTGTGACCTTCATGGATCTTAATTTCCTCTTTTCACACTTTTAGTTATTGCACTAGTCAGGGATCTCCAGAGAAAACAGAACCAATTGGATATAAATCACTATATAAAAGAAAGTTTTGTTTGTTTTTTTAGCACATGTTCAGGAAACGTAATGGATACGTTCATTGTGGTACATACACGTATCATGTTTTATTGCTGCTGCCCGTCTCCCCTCTCCTCTCCCTCTCTCCATCCCTAGATTCCCTTCCCATCTACAAAAGGTCCATCTCCTTATTTCCTGGCCTAGCCATGGTGACTGTATTAGTGGAGCATGAGCTTCAGATCCCCTTAAAGTCAGTATTATCTTCTAAAACTTCCAAGTTACATAAACAAATAAATTCCTATTTTTTATAAAAGCTTAGACTGAGTTGTGTTAGACTGAGAAGCTCTTAAATCACAGGAATGAAACTTTAGCAATGATACTTTAGCAAAAACTCGAGGGATGTATGAGTAGGCAGTAAGCACACCCCCTTGACCTTCAAAACACACCCAGAATCGAGCTGGAAGTGGCAGGTAAGTCTTCCTGTAACCTCGAGCCCACTTGTTGCCCAAAGACCTAATTCTACATGACTGTTTGCTGATGAATGCACAGAAGGGTGGGTGGCAGTGAGTTGGTTCTTTTATATCCATCCACAGTATGTAAGATAAATGTAACTTCCTGGACGCATATCTTAATTTATAGTACTGTAGCTGGATATAAAGTCAACACTCAAAGATCAATAGCCTTCCTGTACACAAACCACAAACTCGGAGAGAAATTAGGGAACACATGCCCTTCACAAGAGCATCCAAAAAAATGAAATACTTTGGAATAAATCTAGCAAAGGGAATAAGGGATCTGTATACTGAAAATTACAGTGCTCTGAAAAAGGAGATCAAAGAGGATATCAGAAAATGGGAAGATATTCCTGGTTCATGGATAGAAAGAACCAACATGGTGAAAATGGTCACACTCCCAAAATTGTTATACAGATTTAATGCAATCCCAATCAAAATACCATTAACATATCTTATAGATCTAAGGAAAACATTTCTAAAATTCATCTGGAAGCAGAACAGACCTAGAATAGCAAAGGCATTCCTGGTTAATAAAGGCAATACAGGAAGCATCAAAATCCCTGACTTGAAATTAAACTACAAAGCTACTGTGGTAAAGTCAGCATAGTACTGGCTAAAAACCAGGTCTGAGGACCAGTGGAATAGATTAGAAGATACAGACACAAGTACAAACACATCCAGTCACCTTATCTTTGACAAAAGGGCCAAACATGTTCACTGGAAGAAAAATAGCCTCTTCAATAAATGGTGCTGGAAAAACTGGTTTGCATATGACGAAGACTAAAACTAGACCCATGTCTATCACCATGCTCTAAACTAAAGTCAACATGTATCAAAGATCTAAATATTAAAATAGAAACACTAAATCTGCTGGAAGACAAATTAGGTAGAAATCCTGAAGACATAGGTGTAGGCAGAGACTTCATGGACAAAACCCAAACAACACTTCAAGGAATCAGCAACTGGAATCTCATTGGCGGAAAACTCCTTTGCACATCAAAAGAGATCACCAACAGGGTGAGAAGACAACCCAGAGAGTGAGAAAAAAAATTAGCCAACAGTCCCTCAGACAAAGGACTTATATCTAGAATATACAAAGAATTGAAAATATCAGACCACCCAAATTCAAAGACCCAATCTGAAAATATGCAGCTGAGATGAATATACACTTCACAGATGAAGCAATATAAATAGCAAAGACATGTATGTGAAAAAATGTTCATATCATTGGTCATTGAAAGATACAAATTAAAACAACACTGAGATTCCATCTCACCCTAGTAAGAATGGTTATTATCAAGAGTCAACTAATAACAAATGTTGGAGGGACTGTGGGGAAAAACAATCCTTCTCCACTGTAGGTGGTAATGCAGACTGGTACAACCATGGTAGAAATCAGTGTGGAGATTCCTCAAAAAACTAGGATTGGAGGTCCCGTTCAGCCCAGGCATCTCCTTTCTGTGTAGTTTCCCAGAAGAATTAAAGACCATTATACCACAGCAATATAAGTGTACCCATATTTGTAGCAGTATAATTTGTAATAACTGAATCTTGGACACAACCCAAATGTCCATCAACCAAGGAAAGGATAAAAAAGACACATTTTTATACATTGGAGTTTTACTGGACTATAAAAAAGGATAAAATTGAGGTATTTATAGGGAGATGGATGCAACTTGAGACATTATAATCATAAGTGAAATAAATCAGATTTTCATGTGTACACATTGTATTGTCTCCCTAGTGTAAGAAGATGAAAAAGTAAGTAAGACCTCAAATGTAAAATAGATATTGTGAAATGGGAAGAAACTGTTCAAAAGGAAGGAGAAACTGGGATGGGAGAAAGGAGAAATAAAATGAAGAGAAAAAGAAAAAATATGCAAAATAGTTAACATAATTATAGTACTAATTGCTGCTACCTCATTAAAAGTCTGTGTTTGATCAATTTTTCACATCTGTATTTTGTCATATAAGCAACTACTTTGAAGATAACAATCTGCAATGTACTAACTGTTGGTACTCTCCTACAATCTTGTTTTAAAATTTTGTACCATTGTTTTTATTGTTTTTTTCTTTAAAATAAAAAAAGAAAATTTATCTTAATCACAGAGATGGGAGCAGAACAAAATACTTCCTCATACTATTTTCTAAATATGGTTATCTGCTACCTAAGGGAATTGATATCTCTTTAATACTGTGACAGCCAGATTTGGACAAATCACCTTCATTTCACGACCAGCCTAAGAAGCACGAATCATCACCCAGTTTTTAAAGATGAAAAGTATGAGGCTGAGAAAGATGAAGCAACTTGCTCAAGGTTACAAGCTAATAGATTCCAATCCAGTTCCCCTGTCACTGAGGCTCATTCTTTCCACATCAGGAATGATCAAGGAAGTGAGCAGGTGACTCAAAGAGAAAAGATGTCCACCAGAAGCATCTGATCTGTTACCTGGCTTCTCATTTTTTCCACACCTATAGCCCAAAGCCAAATGTGGCTGGAAAACTATGCTAAAGTATCAGTGTAAGCAGGACTCTAGACTGAGATGGAGGAAAACAAAACCATTATTCCCTGGAATGCGAGGAAAGTCTGAGGCTGCTCCAGCACAACAAACTGAAGTTTATATCTGTTGAGTGATTTAGCGTCACTCATTAGTGTATTTTATACTTCGCTGAACTTAGGCAAACTGTATAAACATTTAATATATAAGCAAAGCATGTCAGATGTCAGGACTTAAAAATATGTATTTAATTAAAGAAATACATCTCTTAATACCAAAGCCCTAAATACATATTAAATGATACCCTATTCTGAAGGTAAATGAGACAAGCCACCTAAGATATTAAGTGACCCACATATACAGTAATATCTCCATTAAAGAGGCAAATGCACGCCAACAGCACTCTTAAGTGTCAGAAGCTTCATTACCCAATGCAGCAATAACACAGAAGTCACAAGGACCATCCCAGTAGGACAAAGGAGAAGTGGGTACAGTGTAAAGGTATTAGATATTAACCAACATAACATCAAGCGGGCTGCTACAAAATGCGTCTCTGGAAGTTCTGAAGTAGTGGTGGGAGGGTTAAGAGGAGGTAGAAATCGCAGGGCTAACCTGTGATCACTCAGGGGTGCACAGAAATGGTTTGAGGAGGCCTGTGGGGTAGCCTGGACTAGTGCAGAATGGTCACCCCACCAACCCACAAACCAGCCCAAGGAGGGAGCTGGGTCTGGTCGGACCCTTCTCTGCAAGAAGAGAGATGGAATGGAGAGGAAAAAGGGTACCTCTAAATCTCTCCTTTGGACATTCCTGACTGTGACAAAGAAGAGAAAGGGTTGGAGTCACAGGTCTGTGATTTCATTGTGTTGCATATCGTGCTGTCCTTTTGAGAGTCCTTGGGTACCAGGGGCTGTCTCAGGTTATTTTATTAGAATTAAAAGACTGAGAACATTTACCTGGTTGAGGTTTCACATTGACTAGAACTCATTAAGTACAGCTCATCAAGGAGTCACACTATCAGTTTATGAAAATGACCTCAATCGAGACATTTCCTTTCCTAACAAAGGTGAGGAGACCTGGGTGTGGGGTGACACTGGGTAGCTGAAGCAGCCATAGAATGTAACACTCAGAAACCAGAGGCTGGGGAACCCCTAAATTTTTCTGATTTCCTATTTATACCATAAGCCGTGCAGGACAAACACGCTCTATTCACCGAGGTATTTTTGTCCTGTGCAGCTGTGTGGCTTAGCAGGAGCTTTGCTGTCGAGCTGTATGACTCATGCCAGCACTGCTGAATGTGATTTATGAAGACTTGAAGAAAAAGAAAACAGCCAGCTCCATGATGAAGGAGCTTCATTTTCACAGGATTTGTTCATCAGGGAGCATAGTATCACTTGGTCCTTTCTTGTTTGCTTGCTCTTTGAATGAAAGAGTGAGACTCCCTCAGCCAAATAGGCTGGCAGATAGCCTCCACGTTCCCCTCCCCCCGCCCCATTCCTAATGGAATAATGGAATAATGATCCCTGGAGCATAAGAGCAGATAGCCAAAACCAGGGAGTCAGTGACCCTCAGCCACCGTAAAAGTTTAGTGATGATGAAACCCATCAAACCACCGTATCAGAGGCATTGCTTGGACCGGGGATGGCCTCTTCAAAATGGGCCTACAGCCCAAGACATAGGGAAAAGACTGAAAAGGAACCAAGTTTTATTGTTACCTAGGCTAATGGCTTTTTTCAGATTATCTTCCTGTCCTGGAGTCCTGTTAGATGTTCTCTAAAGGTTCATGCATTGAAGACTTGTTCTAAGGTGTCAGTGTTAAGGGTGGTGTAAAATTTTTTTGCAGGAGGTTCTTGGGCCAGTTGAGGGCACAACTTTGGAAGTGACTGGAGTCATTCTTAATTGTTATAAAAACTTGATCCTGGGCCTTCTCAATCATCTTGGCTTCCAGTTTGAGATAGAATCCTTCCCTTCAACACCACCTCCTGCCATTACCATGTGCCCTGATGTGATATGCTGAGAGTTGTACCCTCACCTGAGCTGGGCCCATGGCAATGCCATGCCCTTGAAACTCCAAACTACGTAATTCTCTTTTTCTTCATAGTCTGCCTCAAGTGTTTTGCTTCAGTCATGAAAAACTGACTAATACACCCAGTCCCACTGATTAGGAACTGTTCAGTTCAGTTGCTATTTTGAAATGTACAATATTCAACAACCCCTCTTCCCCTCATCCCCACCTCACATTCCCCAACAGGGGTCAGAAAGGAAAGGGCTGTGACCTTCAACTCTGAACTTTCCAAACTGGACTTGACTAGACCCATCTCTTTCCTACAATCCCTCCTTGTACAACAAGGCCAGTGTCTACATTTACTCCTTGAAAAATGGAGAAACCAGGTCAGCCCAGTCTTATGTCCATAGCACATAATGGCTGCTTTGTCGTAAAGTAGTTTGTCATGAAGTCATAAAAAAAGCAACTGTGGCAATACCTTGTTTATCTTCTTCCAAAAATGTGCTGCCCACCAATCCCCTTGTCACAGTGGAAGAGAATAAATGTTCGCAAGAATATGTGAATAATAATGTAGTCATAGTGCCTGCCTTTGAACACTTTCATGTTAAACTAGGTGGTGGGAGGCTCAGGATAAAGTTTATATTCAGCTTGTCTGACTCATTAATAAGACATATAGTTTATCTTAGTCCTATGAAAAATGCAAACAAAGTAGAATTCGAAGATTTGCAAAAGGAACTTGAGATGGCAAAACTAAAAATATTAAAAATGGATGTCAATAAGCTTCCATTATAAGTTAGAAAATTTAAAAACAAAACAAATCGATGTTTTGGTATCGCTTCTTTTCTGGAGGAAGCGTTACACATATCTTACCCTTTGTTTGATTTTGCTGGAGTAATTTGGCATGGTGCTTCGAATGCAAGTTTAGGCTTAGTTATTTAATTTTTCTGTGATCCAGCCCTCGTCCCCACCTACCCATGCACTAAGGACCTGAGCAATTGGTTACAGGTAGTTGTTTTAATCTCTACCCCTGGCAGCTTTGAAGGAGCTCCAGGCTGCATCAAAGTGCTTCATTGCTCTGTGCCTCTGCCAGGCTTCAAAGCCTCACTACAGGGATTTACAGAGTGGTATATCCTCTCCTTCTGAAGGAGTTATTACTCTCCATTTGTTGTGCAAATTTTTATGGAGATTCCCTAGTATCTTCCTGCACACACTACTTTTCCTCGGAGTGGCTCTTTTGAGCTGTTATTACGAGCTGTCTAGGAAAATTATCTAAAGGAAAATAATCTCTCTATCTAGGGTCAGAAAGCCTGAAACTAGTCCTGTTGACTTTATGGTCTTGCAGTACCTACTATGCCACACCCTGTTTTGCTATTCTAGAAGGTTCCACCAGCAGAGTACTGGGGTGATTTCCCTCTCAAACTGGGAGAAGCTAATTAGTTTTAATTAAAGTTGCAATTAAAGAAAATAGTTTCACCTTTATAAAAATTATATGTAGAGGAGTCTAAAAGGAACAGGAGTCCTGAGATCTAAAAGGAAGTATGTGTTCTGGGTTGGGCTGTCTAGAGATTCTATAATTCTGTGTCATCTGGTGTGGTAGCCACAACTGCATGTGACAACTGAGCAACCGACCTTTGGCTAGCATGATGCTAGAGCCAAGTTTTTAATTTCTTTTAATTTTACTTAATTTAAATTGCTGTAAGTAAACTGGGTGTGGTAACACATGCCTATAATCCCAGCTACTTGAGAGGCTGAGGCAGGAGAATCAACAATTTGAGCCCAATGCAGGTAACTTAGTGAGATCCTGTGTCAAAATGAAACGAAAAATAAAAAGGGGTGAAAAACTTGCCTAGTATGTGTGAAACTTCCATCCTCAATAAAGACAAAAACAGAAGAAAAAAGAGGAGGAGGAGGAGGAGAAAGAGAGGTTTACACACAAAATATATAAAGCACTTTCACAGTTAATAATAAGAGAAGTAAATTGACAATTTAAGTTGGGTCAGAGATTTGAAAATACATGATAAATGAACACATGAAAAGATGTTTGAATTTGCTTTTTTATTGCAAGCAAAGTAAACTAAATGGAATAATACCACTATAGACCTCACAGAATCACTCAAATTTAAAAGTCCAAGTAGCTAGGATGTAAACAAATTGGAATTCTCATCATTAAGGCATCCACCTTGGGGAAAAAAAAAAACCCAAAGTCAAAAAATGCAACACACCTAAATTGCTGTAAATTGTAGCAAATGGCTACTGTATTGAATGGTATGGCTTAGGAATTAACTTTGTGCGTGTGCATGCATATTTAGAAAATCTAGGACCTACGATTAAAAAGAGAGAAGAAAAAGAGAACAAGAAGAAATAATACTTCCATAGACTTTACTGTAAAAATCCTTTGGACTTGTCCCCTAATCTGCCCACCCAGGATGACTTCAATTCCTGCTAACGAAAACACTGCCATCATTTATTTTCATTAATCTTTAGGGAGCAAGGCTGCCGTGCCCACATCTAGGCTGGCACTTCCCTCGCTAGTGCCAGCTGACTGATAACATTGCTACCACTGGGCTTGCTCAGCGATGGACAAGGGGGAAAGGTAATGACATTGCCTCCTCATTGACCAGCCTGAGCCAATAATGTGCCATTATGCGCAGCTGTCAGTTTTATACATCAAGAGTGTCCAATGACAGGTAGGACTCCCACCCTTTTAAAGCGACATAAATCAGGAGTTGTAGGAGTAGAGAGGGGTCACCAAGAGGCCACAAAGAATCTCAGGCCTGTCCACTTGTTTGATCTGGGGCTTTCAGAAAATTGTTCCCTGGGCTGGGAAAAAAAGAAAGGAAAGAAAGAAAGAAAGAAAGAAAGAAAGAAAGAAAGAAAGAAAGAAAGAAAGAAAGAGAAAGAGAGAAAGAGAGACAGAGAGAAAGAAAGAAAATCTCAGGAGATTCTGCATATTTTGTTGGAGATTTCAATTGCGCGGAAGCCAGAAGAGACCTGAGGGAAAGCGGAAGTGATGGAAAGACTAGGTGAATGTCCTGTCCAGAGATGTGACAAGAAGATCCCTGCTGATAGGAAGAATGGGGTCTCAAACTCAGACAGCAGGGAAGACCCCTCACCAGCCCTCTGGGTAGCACCTTCCTCCTCCAAGTTTAATTCCCGCCAGGTTCTAATTAGGAGACATTGAACAAGAAATCTGGGGAAGCATAAAAAGCCAGACATTAAGAAGTTTTTCTTCAACCAGGAAAAAGAAAACTTGCTAATTAACCCACATTTCACTTCTGTAAAGTTGTCTTTTCTCCTTTTGCCTCCTAATGGAGGCAACTGGGCCCAGCATTTAGCGAGGCACAGAAATGTTAAACTATTGCTCGCTGCTGCTGCTGCTGCTACTGGACTTTCTGGGCAACAGAGCTGCCCTTTATATCATGACTTCTTTTGTTTTTCCCTGTGGCTAGCTGTGGCAAAAATGCAGTCAATTCAGGTTAAACAGGCTGAGGAGTGCTATTCAATACGCCAGCCAGGCACACTTCTCTAGATAGTGTATTTAGAAGGTACAGTTTAAAAGGAAAAGTCCTGGGGCTGATCCCAGGAGGGCATGGACGTTGGGTCAGGAGCCAGGCAGGCATCTAGAGTGTGTACACTGGCCTTGCGTAGTCAGCCCCTGGAGCAGCTCGCACCCTTCCTTTCTCCTGTCTTCACCCTCATCCTGCTCCTCCCCTTCCCCTGCTGCCACCAGCTTCTATCTCTATTGTTCCCTCACGCCCAGCAGCCAATGTGCAGCCAGGCCCAGCACAAGCTCTGCAGCCAGCAACTTCCTCTGAAGCTGCAGTGCATAATTACAACCAGCTGCTCCAGGCTGCTGGCTGGCCAGTTCTGCGAGCAGGCATCCTGATGCCTGATGCGGGAGTTCCAGGGAGGTGGCAGCCTGCTCTTAGCAGCAGCTAATTCACCCAAGGAAGCATCCACACCCTTGTAAGAAGGAGCAACCCTTCCCTCTCTGGCAGGGTCAGGGCCTCTCTGCTTGGCTGTCCTGCAGGGGCTCCTGCATACTGTAATTGTTCATGGGAAGATGCCTGCTCTGTCACCTGCCACTTCCTTTGCCCAGCTGGCCTTTGTCTGTGCGGGTCCCATCACAGGCAGGATGCTGTGTCGCAGGCAGCCACGTGAGGGGCTCAGGCTTCTGTTTGCATCTCAGCTGAAGTGTTTTGTGAACTCCTACAGAGAGACAGGAGTAGCAAATGTGTACTGTCCTCAGTAAGGAGCCTAAAAGACAATTAATGTTGCTTTAAAAAAACCCCACCAGTGATAATCCAAAGAAGCCTCTCTTAACCTCCCTAAGGAGGACAGCCTGTGGGCAGCAGAGCTGAGGACTAGCCTGTGCCCCGCCTCCGAGCTGTGGTTCATTTTGAGGTCCCAGTGATCTTTCAGGCTTGGCTACAAGGATGACTCTGATCCAAAATTAGGCTTTGAATGTGTGACACAAGGCTTCCAGCCCCACCCACCGCCTCCCTCTGCCCTGCGCTGTTTCTTCCGAGTCTGGCTCTGGGCCAGATCTGGCCCTTCTGGCTCCTGGGGGAAGGGCCAGGCACAGAGCGCTGTCTCCAGGCAGGGTTTTAGCGTGGGTGAAGGTGCATGGTGCAGTTCAGGAAGAGGAAGGAGACCGACATGCTAGGCAGGGCACCCAATTCAAACCACTCACCCCAGGCTGGAGAGGGGGCATGCAGGACAGCAAGGAGGTGTGCCACAGGGCTGCCCGCACTGTCCCTGTCCACACCTCCTCGCGGCAGGCTCCCCGGGTCCTTCAATAGCCGAGGACCAGGAGAAATCTTCAAGGTGGGAAGCAGCTGGGTGCCTCCTGTGGACCAGGAGCTGCTCAATTTCAGGGCAGTTCCCAGGAAGCCGGCCCTGGCACCCGCAGCTCACAGGGGCAGAGGGAGCAGCACCTTTGAGAGTGTCGTTCTCCTGTGTGAGCTTGGGCTGCCACCCCACAGCCAGCCGCAGCTCTCTGGTCTGAGTTTCCTGTTTGCAGCCCTTTTGGTCTCAATGTGTGTGTGTGTGTGTGTGTGTGTGTGTGTGTGTGTGTGTGGCGGGGGGGGGGTGTGAGGGGGTGGGGGGGGTGGATTCAAGAGACTTTGCCTGCTGTGCGGTGCTGGGCAGGAGGCTCTTGCTGGAAAGGAAATATCACAGGGACCAGGGCTGGCAAATGGGAGCGGGTGTTAAAGCAAGTCACGGTGAGCGGTGAGCGTGTGGAGGCAGCCGAAGCTTTCTGTGTGTCTTCATCAGCCTGTGATCCTGATGGCAATTTAATTCCCCTCAGGAAAAGAAAGAAAGGAGGGGGAGACCAGGAGATGGGGCCAGTGGGAAGTGCTTTCTCTCCTGACCCTTCAGAAGCACACACAGAACCCGCGTGGGTCCAGGTCTGTCTTTCCTCCAGCCCCAATATTTTTGTGCTGCGTGACTGACTCCAGCAGTCTGGGGGCCTAGTGACTCAGTGCTGGGGTTCTTGGCAGGATGTTCTCCCTGCTTGCATGAGGAACAGGCTTTCCAAGCAAACAGTGGGTCTGATCTCATTGCAAGCCTTGTTTGCAGCACTGGGAGAGAGAGTTGCTTTGCAGGGCTCCATTCCCAAGAAAGAGTCCACGTGGAGAAGGCACCTGTAGGCTGGCGGGTCAGGGAGTGGGGAAAGGGATGTATGGGAAGGGAAGAGAAGGAAGATCACGCTTCAGAGCTGTACAAAAGGAGGTGGAGAGAGATAAGACCCCAGCTGGAATCTTAGATTCTTTTCCTAATTCTGTTTCTAATTATCTACATGGATTTGGCAATTTCCTGGCTTCTCTTGGTTTAGTGTCTTTTCATCTATAAAATAAAGGTGATGCATGTCTGCAGTTGTGTGTGTGTGTGTGTGTGTGTGTGTGTGTGATAAGCTAGCGTGGAAGCACACAAAAATATTAAAAATAGTACAAAAATCCATTTTTGAATAGAAAAGCAAACTCCTCTTGCTACCAGTCACACTCACCCGTGTGTCTTCATGTTTGCTTACATTGAGATGAATCATTAGGTCCATCTGATTGAAGGAGGTTTCACGAAATACCAGCAACCAGTACATAAAGAAATATAAAGACTGGGCTGGAGATTTAGCCCATCGGCATAAGTGCCTGTCTTGCAGTCGTGAGTTCGATCCCCAGTACCAAAAAAAAAAAAAAAAGATAAACACAAAAAAGAAATATAATGATTTTTTGGTGTAAGTTCATTTCCTTGTTTAAAAAAGCCCCAAAAAACATGTTCTGTAATTTTCAAGGCATCAGATGAAGGTCTGTCTTATCGCCATCAAGGGAAGCGGGAAGCAGAAAGGCTTCAAACCCTTTCGGGCATTGCCCAGCGCTTTACAAAGATGTCCCCCCACGCTGAGAGCAAGGCCTCACGGTCACTCTTCCCACCAGCAGATGGAGACACTGAGGCATGAAGAGGTGAAGTGAGGTCACCAAGTGAGCAGGTGATGGGTTGGCTTCTGGTATTGGACTCGAAATCCGGCTCCAATTTGTCTCTCCTATAAACAGCCATCAATAAGTTCATCTCCACACTGAACCCTGCCAACCGAGCTCCACCATGTGCAGAGCATTTGTGTGCAAATGAGATCTCCCTGTCCTGGGGCAGAACACAGGGTGCTGCTCAGGAATGGAGGAGGGAGAAGTACCTGTTCCTCCAGTCCCAGCAAAGACCAGCCTTTAGGTGACATTCTAGAAATAAGGAAGGAATAAGTATTTGATACCATCAGTCAATCCACTAGAAGATCAAGATTACATAAACCTAGTAGCAAGAATTTCCAAACATTTAGTTTATTTAAAATTTTATTTCTGACACTGTGCTCAGAAGTATTCCTTCCTTAATACCAGAACCCATGCAAAGAAATAGACTGATACAAAATAATTAAAATCTCACGTTAATGTTCATGTGTTGTGATAATGCAGATTATCATGTGTAAGTCAACAAAATGCCTAGGTTGACAGTGTGTTTCTATTTAAAAATTAAGATTCTGATCCATTTTTCTCTTTGCAAATTGTCAACTCAGATATATACTTTATCCCTTTAGGTTTTCAGCCTGGTCCTGCCACTAGCACCGTGACCGTAGTAAAAGGCAATGAACCTTGGTCTTTCTTTATAAGTTAGAGCAATCAGGACCATCCTAGATTTTCCACAGAGACTAACTGCCTTCCTGTTAGGAAAAGCTTGGGACACAAGGAGTACCTAGTCAATGATATTTCTTTCTTTACTGTTGGGGAATGCATTCTTTATAAAGTGCTTTCATGCTATTATTGGAAGTTGTTTCATATCGATTGCGTACATTTCTTCAAGGTATCTAAGAGAGGTGTGTGTAGCTTCTCAAACACATGAGCAATTCAAAGAGGTTTAGTAAAATGCTCAGAATCACAGGGCAAATCGGTGCAGAATGGGAAGCCTGGCATGCTGACTGCTCAGCCTGGAACCTTTCCATTAACTTTCTTCCTTCCACCCAACCTCATGCCAGCCCAGGGCACAGCCCCTCGGTGCCTCTGACCACCCTCTCTCCTGCACTGTGGTCCCCACTTCCCTGTCATTGGGATTCCCAATCATTTTCCTCTGCTTCCATTTCATCTACACATTGAGACTGCCTAGCATCTATGTCAGAATGAATTTGGGGAAATGTTCTTTTAAATGAAAGAGGTTGAATTAAATTCCACCCTATATGTTGTGTTGTTAAATGTCTCCAGCATGATAAAAATCATCCCAAATGTCACCATTCCCTGGGGGACTTATTAATAATTAAGCATTTTTAGTTCACTTAGGAATGCAAATCCCTTTTTGCGTGAGAATGTACACTAAATATGTCCATTATATTGCAGTTTACAGCAGTATATTTTAGAGATCCCAGCTGGGTTTCTCTAGGACAGACGACAAAGTTAATGCAGGTATCTGTCTTTCCTAAAGACAGCGTAGGAGCCAACAGTAGCATCCTGGATTGGTTTATAGGGCTTGTGTTTATTAGCAGTGTTTATTAGGATGACTAATAATGGAAGAGGCGACTTGGCAGGAGAAAGGAAGGGCTGGGGGAGAGCGGGGAGAAATGTGATGCTCTCAAAAATGCAGGGAAGGGGAGAGGCCCAGTCTCTGTGAGGAAGGCACCATTTGTCCCCATGCTGATTTATAAGGTTTTACGGATCAGGCAAAGGGTACTGTCGTTCTATATGTACTACCCAATGGGAAGAGCGTTTATGTTTTTATTTAGCTTATTCAGAAAGATACATAACCCTGCCATGTGTACCACACATGCACACACTGCTACTACGTACTTTAAAAAGCAGTTTTAATTTTATGTCTTCTTTTTTTCTTTTTCCTTGATCTCCTAGGAAAAGCCAGAATACTCAATATCAAAAAATAAATGAGAGAGAGAGAGAAGATTTAGAAGGTCAGTGGATATGGAGCAATACTAGCTGCTACGTGAGGTATAGAGTTGGGCCTGCTATTTAATCTCTTTCTTTCTGTCTCTCTCTCTCTGTCTCTCTCTCTGTCTCTGCCAGTCTGTCTCTGTCTCTCTCTCTTTCCGCTCTCCCATTCCTTGCTCTATCTACAGATGTTTCCATAATCTTACAGATGCTTTTAGCTCTACTGTTCCAGAAATCTAGGCTGCAACGGGGAGAAGGCCTCTTCTCTGTGCCTGAAAACTTCTGTGAACTTTTAGGGGAGAAAAGTGACGCAGACAAATTCTTCTACTTCCTTGTTTTCCAGGCAGAAACTGTGTCTTAAACTCTGCCTCTTCTTTTCTCTCTCATGCAAAGCACCTGCTACCCTAATAAATGAGCCATAAATTTAGTCATAAGGGCCCTAACAAAGGCTCACAATCCTAGGCTACTAGGGTGGCCGGTGGGACAGGCTGCCATCAGGAGGTAAAAACAGCAGTCAACATTATTGCTCTCATGTGGAGTGTGACCTGCCTGGTGCCTGAGGTGACAGCTGGCCCTAAGAAGCTGCAGAGGATGACTGAGGAAAGCCTTCAGCTGCTGTGGCAGCCTCTTAACTTTCATCGGGATGCTGTTGGGGTTCAAGGTCCAGCTAGAAGCTGCTGCTCTGACAAAGGTATGTGTGTCTGGGGAGTCGCTCCCAGGTGTTCTCTTTGACCAGTGTTTTTTTTCTGTGTGATCCAAGGTCCAGGCAAGAGGATTGCTGAGCAGAATAGGAGGAGGTGGCAGAGTTTCCAGACAGTCAGTGCACCGGCTTCTAAATGACAACGGTGCACATCACATTTCACTGAGTATAGAAGCAGGTGGTGAGTTTTCTCTCTTTGCTTTAACACATACACACGTCACCATCACCACCAGCACTACGACATTAAGAACCTGGTAGCTTGAAGAATTGCTTTGCTCTGGTTATGTTTTTTTTTTTTTTTTGTCTTTTTCATTTTTATCGGTACCAGGGATCGAACTCACGACCGCCTGCTAGCAAGGCAGGTACTTATGCCGCTGAGCTAAATCCCCAGCCCCTAAATGGTTATGTTTTGATCCGTGCTGTTTCGTTGTTATGCCCTCTTTTATCTCAATCTCCACTCCATTATTTACTTTTTTATTTTTATCCTTTTAATTAAAGGAAAAAAATAGCAGGATATATTATAGTAACCCACTTTGACTTTCCATTACCTCGATTTAAAGCCCTGTATTACTCTCACCATCTGGTTTTTAACTGATGTTCCCCTATTCTGTTTTGCTGGATAGTATCAGGTTCGAAAATTTAGGCATCAGCTGTGAAGATAATGAGATTCATTATAACGCCCATTCTCGTTGACTTTTATCTATTTTTGAAGACCTACAATGTCTCTAATGTTTTGGTTTTGTCGGTTTTATTCTTTACTGTTTTGTTCAATTGTATTGTAACTAACGATATAGGCAATTCTATTAGAGATAGCGGGAGGCATTATGGTAACCATTGTTGATCACCTTGTATTATGTTTTCACATTATCTATTATGTCCACCCTTTTGACTTGACCGATTCTGTTCTGTTATATCACATTTGGTTTTACTCTC